GGCAGGCAAACTTGCCTCAAGGATATGGGTATAAGCCCACGTTGTTCCAGCCATCAACACGCTACTCGACTCGTACTAGTAGACCGGTACCAGTACAGTGGAGCTGCCAGGGACGAGGAGCCTTTGGCGTTGATTGTTTAGCCTCGAATCATACCTCCATGCAACGTTTAATAGGTAGAACCGCCCGCTGGCTTGCTGAGGAGAGTCGCCTCGACGAATCGAGGAACCACGTGTGGTCTTGGTAATTCTAGTAGTCGGCGGGGACCGTACGCTTGTAGCGGTATTCAGCGACGACGATATTGGCAGCTGGATCCATCCAGATGGGCTCGATCCCTGTACTTGATGATGTCTTGGATCATCAACGTCAACAAGCCATAACATCAAGACTTTGATGCGTCTCGCGGCGTATCGTTGGCTCACCAGCCAAGCAGCTCCGTCTTCACGCTGCCAGTCGATAAGCAGTATCACCTCGGCACGCTTCCGGCACGCTCCCGCGTTGCATCAACTTGGGGTGCGGGTGATGTTGATCTTACATCTCTACCAGGCAATGGCCTCTTTCAAACGCAATGCGTCGACGTACATCGGCCACCGCTCTTGCTTTCCTTTCCCTGGCCGGCGCCACGAGCTGGACGCACGGACGGAGCACTAGCACTACACCAACGCAGCGGGTCGGTCGTGACCTCGGGTCTCTCGAAGCCACCAGACGTCGTTTTGCTGCACGCCACAGTCTCGCTGCCGCAATCGCCGCTCGCAGCTGACCACCTTGTCGCAGCCACCACACCGTGTGTGGTAGTTCTCTGCGCCAAGAGGTCCATCATTCCATGGGGACATTGGTCGTAGAACATGGCTCGAGGTGTTGGCATCTCGCCCAGCGCAACACACTTGCGAAACAAGCTCGTCGCGGAAAGAAAGGTCGTTGTTGGTGATGCGATTCGAGTCGGGGTACGTACAATAATGGTTGCATCTACAGAGATTCGTTACCTTTGACGAGAACGATGACGCACAGCGCTGGCCCCGTCATCACGCCGACCACAGCTTACCACACCGCCATAATCCAGGCCCATCGCGTTCCTTGCAGCCTGTCTGTTTGCGCGCGCATCTCGAATCCCACCTTTTACACATTTGCCACGTCTATTTCAAGCCATGTCGCATGTGAAAAAGGAGACTGTAGGGAAGTAGCGCGATGTTTGCTCTTTAGCTGTTTGCTGTTTGCAGTTGCCGTAGCAGAGCCACGCACAACGCGACGTGTGCCAATATCTCTGCAAGCTAATGCCACCTTGCACGACAAGCGAGACGACCATGGCGCGCCTGCATTGGCACGACACACATTTCCAGCATGTGCAACCCGTGAAAAATACATGTGAAAAAGGTGCGTTGATTCGTTTCGCGCGACAAATTCGCGTCGTTTGATTTGGAATCCTCGGCGCCAGCCTTTGAGCTTCACTTTGAGCTTCATTTTGAATCTTGACACGAAAGACCCAAGCATGAAGTTTGACCGCGTGACGTCGCCCATTGACGGCGACTACGAGATCGAGATGGCCGATGAAGCGCCGCCGCGACGACACCGCGCCATCATTCTTGGTATACGCAGGTTTCCCACCAAATCGCACGCACTCACAGCACCACTGTAGGCTGCCTCGCTGCCGTGTACTTGGCAATGACCGGCATTATCATCTACCTCCTCGCGAGCAAATACCCAGCGTCGTCCATGCCCGTCATCCTCATGGTCGGCGACTCGATCACCGAGTATGCGGCCAACGTCCACATGCACGGCTTCCAGGCGTCGCTGGCCCACGACTACATTCGCCACGCCGACGTTGTCAACCGCGGCCGGGCCGGTTGGTCTACCGCGTACGATGACAATAATGCTGTCGGTTGAGGCTTGAGCTTGGTACCTTAGGAACTGGCGCCCAAAGATCCCGGCGCTGATCCGCGAGTGGGAAGCCCGCCCGCCGATCCTCGTCACGATTGCACTCGGCACGAACGATGCATCCCTTCCGAATGCCACTGGGCTTTACGTGCCACCGGAGAAGTACACAGCCAACCTCGAGGCCATGGTGGTGCGCCTCAGCGATGCTTTTCCCGCGACCCAATTCCTCTTTGTGACGCCGGCGGTCTCGGACGACGACTCGGCGATGGGCCAACTGCACCGCAACGACCGCGCAGGAACGTACGCGGCGCTGTGCAAGCAAGTGGGCGATAAGTGGAAGATTCCTGTCGTCGATCTCTGGACGCCACTGCAAGGCAAGCAAAAGACCGTCCTTAGCGACGGCCTCCACCTCAATCAAGCTGGCAACGAATTTGTGTACGACCAAATCAAGAACGCGATCGCGACTTCGTACCCGCAGCTGCGACCGAGCGCATTGCCCGAACGGTCCTAATGGCCATTCCCGATATTCTAGTTCTACTAGAATGTATTTAACAACACTTTGATGCGCCTCCCGCAGTCAAGGCAACGACAAAAGAGCGCTCGTTTCAAAACGAGACAGCAGTCGTCAGCTGGCAGTTGTTTCCCGTGCTGTTCTCGCCCACCAAGTGGCTGGTGGGTTGATATAATGTATTTCTCTCTCGCCCGACACAGCTGCCCGACACGGACCATTGGACACGGACGGCCTCAAAGCCTCAAGAGACTTCAGCTTTGGCCCCTTTCACACGTAATTGTCGAGGGGCATGAGTGCAGGACCTTGGTGGTGTCGTGGCTGAACGGGAGGGGTCGCGCTCCCTGGCGCACACGTGGTAGCATGCGCTGAATTCTGCGCCGGAGCAAACGAATTTGAAAATCGATCGATCGACGTGGTGAGCTTCCGGTAGTGGCAGCAATTCTTCGACACCAAGGTGCGTCGGGCCTTAATGTGTTGGAGCCTCCAACACCTCACTCAACCCTCCAACTTGGAGGGTTGAGTGAAGCACAACGAAAACGGCGAAACGACAAGAGCATCGTCCAACACGGGCGACGCAGCGAACCGTCCCTGGAGATTATGTTGGGTGACAAATTATACCGTAGCAATGTCGGCCGTGTGGCATGTCTGCCCGAAACGATCCTCCCGATGCCATCACAACACGGTCAAGCGGATGTCGGACAGTGACGCCACATTTTCTTTGCGCCTGCAGAGAGATCCCTCGCAAGTCGCAATGAGTCGATGCTTTCTTCTTAGTAGTCCATGCGCAGACTACAGTGTATCTTCTAGCCCTGCTTGAAGGCCGCGAGCGCGGGATATTATGGGCGTGGATGATGACTGGGATCCGCTTTTTGGTCGCTGATTGGCTGCTGCTAACCAATCGAATTGCAGCAAAGATACAAAAAACAAACAAGCGACAAGCATGTGGTCATTTTTCATAAAACTGCATTCCACACTGGATCCTACACAATCTACGGGTCGCAGCCGCCGCCGCCCGCGACCACCGTGCACGACGTCGACGGGAGCATCGAGAGCACGCTGGCCGTGATCGAAAAGACAAGCGCGGCAAGGACAAAGATGAGGACGCACGCGCCGACGATCGGGAGCTGCCGCCGTGGCGCTGGAGATTGTGGAGTGCCACCTTCTGGGTCGGCAGAAAGATCGACGTCATGGCCGCGACGA